TGACAGTTTGCTAATGTTTATCAACGCTCACTCAGTATAAATAAAGTGAATGTACCTGGTTAGGTAGTGCTACACTTAAAGTAGTCATACACAGTTAATTGATGTTTAATGTACTACTCTGTCAATTCTTAAACTTGACCACTATACACACAAGTGAACCATTTGTGAAGTCTACATTAGGATTTGCTGTCAGAGTCATGGTCATCTCTCTAATTGAAATAATAATAATTATCATTATCGTTTGTGAAATGGTGAGGAGGGCACCTCTATAYGTTGGTGGGCATGGTGCATGGTTGGGAGGAGAAAGCYGGTTACAGCAGATACCGTCTTTGACTTCAGCCTCAGCCCGGTGAAAAACTGAAGCAACTGCATCTTATTTTCCTATTACATTTATTTTGCAATAAATTCTAAGCTACAGTGAACAAAGCATTCTCTCTGGATTTCTCTTTGGAAACAAGTCCAGCAGTGGTTTGCCGCAGGTAATGAGTCTTCAAGTCAGTGGTGAGGAGTCTCCACAAAGTGCGGTGTTCATCCGAAGTGTCCGTGAGAAATGATTACTTCAGTGAGTGATGCGGTATTTGACCAGACTAGAAATGGAAAGTAACAAATGTGATACAACATCACAGGACAACTGGTAACGTGCATGCACACACGTGTGCATACACATGCACAGACACTGATGCTGTTGACATCTGCCTGCTGGAAACTGACATGTAGGCCTGAGAGAGGTGATGCAATGGCAGCTGGTGTTGTAAGTCATGTCATCAGGTTTCCATAAGTAGACTAAGGTGGTTTAATGAACATTTGTGTGTTTAAGGTCATAAAATAACCGTCTCTTGGTACAATAGTGGAGAAGTCATGTAAAATAGACAGAATGTAGATGTTACTTCATTAACCATTGCTGATGTTTAATGTTCAAAATTTTTTGTTTCCTATTCAAACTTAAGAGTCTTTTCATAACCTTTACTATATTTTGCAATTGCTAGGGCTCCGTAATTTAACATTATACTTCAAATTCTTTTAAGGCTCACCCAAGCACTCCGTGCTGTGTATGAAAGAATCTGCATTGATGTTTCTCTGCTGCTCTCATTTGTTGCAACACTCCGGTGGCCATAATAACCTAAGTTGATAAACTAAAGAAATACAAGTTTGAGTAAGCATCCATCACAGATCTTTATTCAATGAAGACCGCCGTTAACCACCTGCAGGTTGATGTGTTGACAGCAGAGAGCGGGCTGGTGCTGTGCTAGGATTCGTCAGACACTTGTGATTATTGATGAGGAAAGCTTTTAAATTAGAGCTGTTCACCTGCTGATCACAGAAACATTAACAGCAGACAGAAAACCAATTGCAATTCCAACAACCAATCAGTGCTTTGTATATAATGCTCCTGGTATGACAATGTTGTCAGTGAGTGTGAATAATTGACATTGAACAGTGCAAAAGATCAACCCTGTGTTAATAATAGTTTTAATACAAAGGGTTTGTCTTACTTCTGTCACGAAAGATACCTTAAGAGACAAGAGTAACTGTGACTTGCCCTAAGAACTATGTCTGGTATCCAGACATCCAGTAGTTATATCATCAAAACAAAAACATCCGATTCCCCACCTGCATCAAAAGTAATGTAATGCTCACTGACTGTGTGTAATTTCCTAGGTGGCCAACAGAGGAGGGGGGGGGATAATAGTTATAAGGGATTTCTGTCTCCAAATGTTTCAAAATACAAAGACATTTCAAAAAGGACAAATGGATGTCGTTGCATTTGGTAAACCGTTTTTACAAGTTCTGAATCAGTAACAAACTTTTCCATGTACTGCAACAGGTGATTTTAAAGGGTACAGACAGAACCAAAAGGCAAATAGGGAGAAAAGATATAAACAAGCATTAGATGCTGCACAATTTTAACTTCTGAAAACAAAGCTTTAAAATCTGTAAACAGGTCTGCATAAACTAATTATCAATCTGAGAACACATTCAACATTTAAGTAAGAAGAACAGCATTTTTATTATTCCAGATATTTTACTTCGCAGGATGCCACCTCAGACAATTTTCTTGTTTTTCTAGAAAGAAGTCATCAACAAATCAAAAGGTGACACCTAGAGGCCAGAGCCTGCCTATTCACCAAAAGTCCTGCTTACTCATTCTTTTTTTGGCAAAGTGAAACAGAAACACAATCCTCTATTTGTGGTTGCAGAGTGCTAAAACAATGCAGGTACGCAAGATCAGGGCAACTCTGTGTGGTTTTTGAGATAAGAACAGAGAGTCAGGGTGAGCTCTTTCAACAGGAAACAGAAAGGAGGCCAAGAGCTGTGTCAGTGTTGTGACGTTAGTCCACAGGTCGCTTTTCACTGTGTTTCTTTGTGAACTCCTCAGCATTCTTCATGAATTTACCGTGGTCTTTAGTGTATTCCTCCGCCAGGTCTGCCCTCAGCGGGTGCTCGGGCTGGGGGGTGAGCACCAGAGTAATGAGACACTCAATCACTGGAGGAGAGAAGGAATGGGAACACAGGTGATTAATGAACAAAGGTCCCCGTTTTCTTATTTGAGGGGTTTTACACACTTTTTGAAAGGAACTGCAGATATCACAAACGGCAGTGAGGAATTTCTGTGTAAGCCTTTCCACCTTCTAAACCTGCAGTTTAGAAGATTATTGGCCACTTGGAGGCAGTAGATACAAGCTTTGAACAGTACACCTCCTACTCTCTCACCATGGGTGGCTTTTGTTGCTGGTTTCCAGTTCTCTACACTGATGACAGGCAGGCAGACCTGACCCTTCTCGTCAATATTGGGATGGTAGATTTTTGTCTTGAAGGTGATCTTGGGTGGCTTGAAGGGGTACTCGGCAGGGAAGATGATCTCAATGCGAAACGCTCCTTTGTCATATGGAGGACAATCCTTGGACAAAAACAAGAATTTGTAGATTGGGGAGGAGAAAAAAAAAAATCACATTTAGTCAACCTTTTCAAACTCAAAATTAATGTTTTTTCTCCCGTTCTTAGTAATATTGAAAAGAAAGTAAAATGTCAGAGGGAAAATAAGCATTTATTCTTTGGCTCCCAGCGGCTGGAGGTGTGTGTCAGTGTTAGGATGACAGCAGCTCTGAAGTTAGATCCAGAAGTCGGTTGAAATGACCGTCTCCGGCTCAATATTTCAAGCTATCTAATTTTAAAATGAAAACCCTGTAAAAAGGCTCTTAAAATGTGATTGTTCCATCATGAAAACAAGATTTTTGAATGCTTGTCAGGAGAGAGCACAGGCCATATATTAAATGCTGCCGCAGGACACAAAATATTCAATTTAAGCTGGAAGTTATGCAGGTGACTTTAGTAATAGCTGAATACTTACAGGAACAATGAGCCCATTCCAGATCAAGATATTTGATTCGTCGACTTGAATGTTGCGGAAATGCTTGATCCCAGTTTTAATGATGTCACTGAGCTCCTGAAAGAAACAAGTTGATTTAAATGGATGATGAGCAACTTATCCTCACCTCAGTAGTACCTCTCGTGTATTATTACAGTTGAGTCACAAAGACAACCAAATCGAATACAACACTCTGTGCTGTTTCCAAAGACATTTCTAGATCCCCCAAACTGAATGGAAAAAATGAAACACAACAAAATCTGCTGCAGGACAGAAAAGATCATTAACTCATATTTACAGGTTGTAGTTTCTACCTAGGAAACCTTATTTAGTGTTTTTGTAGTACATCAAAAATTGAAGCCCATAAGTTGATAAAAAAAAAACATTAAAACAGCTGCAATGCTCCAGTTATACTAGTTAGGTAGTTGTACTCTTGGAGCAATTCAAAATATTTGAAGGTTTGGGACAATGAGGAACTCTGAGATGGTCATTTTTCAATTACTTTGTGATACACAAAAGCAGAAAGTCCTCATATTTGTGAAACTGGAGAAAATACATGTTTAGGATTTTTACTGGAAAATGACTAAATCAACTATTCATCTATCGAAATCTTTTACGAATTCTTCTCTTTTAATCAATAAACCGATTGTAGCTCCAGTTGCAGCTCAGATCCTTTTACTGCTGTGTCATTAACTACATACTTTACACTGACAGGCAGAAGTATATCTCTACTAACTCCTCTACTTCCCATCAGTATTTGCGTGTGGAATTCAGAGGCGGTAACAGAACACTTGACTGATGTTCTCACTTGAATAATCCCTAACACAGGGACTTTGTTGTAACAGACATGAGACAAATCAAAACCAAATGCTGGTACATTGAAACCGAAAGCATCAGACTCAAGTGCTGGAGAAAGTCATTCACTTTCCATTACACTCAAGTCAAACACGATATTAAACAGATTTAAACATTTACACAGCAGCTGGAGAGTAACTGAGTATCATTTTCAAGTATTTCCATTTTATGCTCCTACATTTTACTCCAATACATTAGTTAATTAATTAATTCACACTTTTGAATGTAATTGTAGGCATTTTTCTCTATGACACATCAAATAATATTCAGTTAATAACAGTTTTATGTAATAAAATTGATATAAACTGCCATTTACAAGCTGTGACAACTACATACTGGTGCATTCAGCCCAAACTTACTAAAGTACTTTTCTATATTTTGTGAACACTGCATTAACATTTGAAGACAATTTGAATGACTGTAGGGTTTACATTTTCACTTGTTGTTATCATTTTTTTTAAAACAATGATATGCAATTTGCCAACAACTAAACTGTGGACATTTTTCATTTTAAATGTACTGGTCAGTTAAATAAATGGGCCCGTTAGTAACTGATTAAATAACATAATTATTCATTTTGAGACTGATATTTTGTTGAAATTAAATCAAAACTGAGGAAAGCAACACTTCCTCAGATTGGAGAGACTGGAGAAAACTTATCTTTTACTTGGAAAGCACCGATTTGTTTTCTGTGGTTTGACTTCTGGCTTCACAGACTGATCGTAGTTGCTTGGTTTAACTTGTGTTTTAAGAGAATAATCTCCTGGGTCTGAGGTCTTAAGTCACGCCCCAACCCCAAAGTCTCCATGTTTTCGGCTCAGCCGCGTCCCTCCACACGGTGACAGCCAGCGAAACCTGCGGCTTCACTTCCCACTAACACGCCGACTCATCGGCTCGCCCCTTCGAACGCGGACGCGTCGCTCTCCCCGCTGCTGCGAAGACAGTTTCGGCGCTGACTCACTCCAACTAACTATTCACCTTAGTCACCGTCTGTCGGGCGTCATGATCCTTTCATTTTGTCGGACACATGAACGAAAGAACATTTACTCTCGGCGGACGGGTCTTTAGCGACACACAAACAGCGGAGCCAAGTAGTTTGAACCCTTCCAGAGAAGAATCAATTGAATAAATGTACATTAGTATTTGTTTTTACCCTCTCTAGTCTCTTGGTCGCAGACATCATAACGCTGATCTCCTCGCCGTCGTTGTCGTCGTCTTCTTCGTCTTCTTCTTCCTGTTTCTTTCCGTTCCTTCATCGACTACTTTAGAGATTGTCGTAAGAGGCTGTCAGCCGGCGTCCCGGCACACTACCGCCACCCATCGACATGGAGTATGTATGTCAGACTAAATCAGACTTGAAATAACCTCCACTCCCCCAAATACTGGCCCCCTCTCCGACAAGCAGAGACCCTGTTACCATATAACTGCATGCTCTATATACAGTATTACATTTGTACAATTTCTACAGTGTGAAATGAATAGATATATTCGAGGATTTCAAAAATATGATAAACTTCTGAGCATAAACTCTTAATGGCACAAATACAGCGTATGCCTGTCATAAGATAATGTCATAGTATTTAAGAATAATAGTTTCAAAATAAGCTTTATTTGAATTAAATGCTTCATACAGTGAGTTGTTTTTGTGTATGGACATGACATTTTGGACAAAGCCTTATTTTGGAGCAGCTGGTGATTGGCATGCAGAATGCACTGTGTGGCACTGTCAAATTGTTTTGCAAAGAACAGAGAGGTGTTCTTGTGTTATAACTGCCAGTATAACACAAACCGCCAACCTCAGCCTTTAAATTGACCATGCATTCTATTGACACCTCTTTAGAACAGCCGCAACAAAAACTGAAAGTTGTAACTCACTGTGAAATTCAAAGATTGACCTTTTGGCATCACGTGTCCAAGAAGAGCAGATCAGTATAGAACATTAATGAGTTTGAATAAATAAACGAGTCCGTTCCTGTTGACATTTTATTTATGTGTCTATTTATTATGATTCGTTATCATTTGAAGTCAGCAGGCCTCTTTTACAGGTTTTTTAAATCAAAGTATTTTAGCAAGTGTTTTTTTTTTATGCTGTTTTCTGGTGGAGTAGCATTATTACAGCTGATGCTATAGAAACGGGATCAATAAGCTGATCAAGAAAGGCGAGATCTGTTATTCGCCTGACCTCAGACTCTGGAGATCACTACAGTGCAGAGAACCAGGAGGAAGCACAGAGCAGGAACTTCATTTCACAAAAGTCACAGAAGCAACAGGCTCCTGTTTCCAAAATGCACCATTGAAAGGTTCAGACGTATTTTGGACCTGCAGCAGTCAGGCCTTTTAATGATCAGTGTTGATCTACAGTCTCAGTATTATTCATTCACTGAATGAGGTGATTACTGCTATTGTCAGCATACTGTTTACCTGTTTATCGTCTTCGATCTAATAAATTGACTGTCTTTGGTCTCGCTGACTTTCTTTTCCTTCCTTTCAATGTCTCAGTCTGGTGTTATTGACTATTGACTATATATTGACAACTATTGACTATAGACAGTAATGTGTGAAGGACCACAGACACATACTGTGTGTATGTGCAGGACCACAGACACGCAGGACCACAGACACGTTCTGTGTGTGTATGTGCAGGACAACCAAAGCCACATCAGAACCTGAGGTGTCCTCTGAGATGATCAGCTGAAATAGTCAGTGATTGAATGACTCTAAACTGCTGCAAAAGCAATGATAATAACAGTTTTTTACACATGCCACATTACTGTTGGTTTGTCAAGTTCAGGGAAGGTTTTTTAAAGTTAGTTAACTGTAAAGTTAACTGCAGCGGCTGCTGAATTGTTTCTCTCCAACAGGAAACAATGTGTAACTCGACCTGTTGAGCAGAAAAACATCTGGAGCGTAAACGTCGTGTCTCACTATGCGATCGCACCGTTTCACAGGAAAGCTAAGCGCTGTGCATCATGTAAGAGTGAACCCATCATAACCCCGACGACCTGGACGTTCTGTGTGCGGTGACACTTCCACGGCAGGCGGTGTGAGCGCAGGGCTCAGCCGATGACCTCCCCCCCAACAGCAGCCTGCTCAAGATGGCCGCCTGAGTGGAGGAATTACCCGTCTCCAACACAACTATCACAACAGTGCTTGCTCCACCGGCGACTCCAGCTGTCCGCCCCGAGGATGAGACGTCGACACCGGCCACGTTTGTTCCCATTTTGAAAAAGGAAGACGAGCTTTGCAGACGCCATGGAGTAAGAAGCCGCTGGGTAAGGAATGCAGACACAACCCCGGGTTAACCCACTGCGAGCTAGCCTCCGTTAGCCAGCGTCCACTAGCAGCTAGCAGGCTAACCTTAGCTCCACCTGCGGCAGGTAAACCACGGTGGTTTATCGATAGCTGCTCAAATCAAACTCGTGCTCGGCGTGTCTGCTGTGGCGAAGCGATGGTTGCTAACTGTGCCTGCTGTCAGCAGCGTTAGCAAGCGTCCATTAGCTCCCTGCTCGGCTACCCAGGTTAGTTAGCTTGTTTGCTACATTTGTAAAGAAAAACAACAGTGGACGCGTTCATGGTGAAAATATCGACCTGGCTGCCCTTTTCTCGCTGTAGTGTGGTGCTTGGTGTTCCGTGTGAACGCTGTTTAAACGACAGCAGAGTCTGTTGGATGACATGATATTGTATTATTAAGTTTGTATCTCTGCCACAGTGTCATCAATGACCCGTCACGTTATCCTGCTTATGGTTACCAATAGTATTCAGACCCGATCACATGTTTAGATCACACCCTAGAAGAACAATGTTGAGTCCTACCTGTCACCAAACACAGGGGATAGTAGTGCAGCAGTTGTATTTACGTTGGAGAAATACTTCTATCTATCTATCTATCCAAAATCATAATTATAATAACAATTTGTATCTAGCACCCTTTTAAACACAGGCTCACATTCACCTTATTATAAAAAAGGAATACAAGTTTTTTCTAACAAGTGTAACAGCGAACAGTTGTTCATGGTGTGTGGATTGTTATGAGGTATGATGGATTTGAAGTTAACAGTAAGCAGGAGTAAAAATCCTCTTATTAATATCCAGCTCAGCATTGGTATTGTGTGACACTGATCCCTGTGACACATCAGGTTCTGCCAGTCACAAGATTTGCAGGAAAACAAAAAGCCTTATCAAAAAGCCATGATTAAAACAATGGACACTTGTTCCTCAGTCATTCTACTTCATGCCAGTTTTGGTTCCTAATGGCAGGATCATCTAGAACTTAATTCAACCTCTAAAAACTTTTTGGGCTACACTCAAATGATGTAGAATACGGATCTAACCTGAAGCAACGTTGGTGTTTTCGTGTTAGCACTGCATGTTGTTTTAGGAGATTAGCTGCCACTGCCACACAGTCATAACACATTTCTCTCTTACTCTGAGGTTCTTGAGCAGATCTTGCAAGCTTGCTCTGCTGAAGAGCTGCAGGCCATCTGAAATAACACAGTGTGACTTCTGTGCAACATGCTAAAGGAAAGTCATGAGTCATTCCCTCAGGTGGTTGTTTTCAACCCTCAGCAGATAAAAAAACCCCAAAAAATATATATAATCAATAAATTGTGTTCTAGATGATTCAAAAATTAACAAGTTTGTCATTAACAGTCAAACAAAGTCAAACTATTTTTCCGAGATGATATTCATGTGTTGACTGTTGATGGGGGGAATCACATGATGCAGGATGACGTGTTTGCTGTGAAACTCTGCTGAAGACAACTGTGACAATCCCTTCTCAATCAAGGTTATACCCTTTTATTTGAAATGTATTTGGCAGATTTTAGAATTCAGAATACACAGCTAATTTCTACAAATTATACTAGTATAACATATATTTATATTTACAGTATAAAGATTAAAAACTACATTATTTTCCTGATAAGCTATATTAGTCTAGTCATTATTATGACACTAGATATTAGTATACATATAGCAGCAACGAGCATTATGTGATATGATGAATTTGAAGGTTACAGTACAGTCTAGGCCTATAGCAGTATAACTTAGGGTTGGTTCAGGGCTCTCTTCAGCTAGAACTATAAAATCTTTATAAAAGAAGAATGTTTAAATTTAGTTGTCTGCCTCTTGAACCAGGTAGAAAATTAGAGAAAGTAGAAAATTCTCAATTCTGAAGGACGTGGACGACTCTGCATCGCTGCAGAGACAGAACATAATTGATTTATGTTTTCTGCTGCGTTCATTGTTATATAAAAGCAATTCATTCATAAATTTGAATTCAGCAGGAATCGTTGACTGCTGAATCGTAATCTAATCATGAGGCTAATGAAGGTGCACACCTAGGCTCTACCTTCCATTCTACTCTTACAGACTCTAGGAGCCACAAGTAAGACAACATTTAGAGACAGATGTGGTGTGCTGGGAAAATAAAATATGTGCTCTTTAAGATAAAATGCAGGTTGAACATTGAGAACTTTTTACACAAGGAGAATGATTTTTAATCTGGATTTTCCAGGGAGCCAATGCAGAGAAGTGAACACAGGATATTGGTAATGTTTCTCAGATGATTATAATTTTATTTTTGAAGAAGCTCAAGGAATTGTTCCTGCTGAGACAGTTCAGCAGATCTATGACTCTCTGACCGCATGCTTTCAGACATGCGCTGAACTCCAAACATCTTCCTGAAATTCTCCTGCCAGCCCCTTCGTAAAATGTGTAGAAAATTCAAGTGGGCGTGTTGATGACATTTCTAACATGAAAGATGCAAGACTGATAAAAAGGCAACAAATATGTCAGGATGAAAAAGAGAGAAAAAGAAGAGAATAACAGTGTTGAGTTGTGTATGCAATGAGGCTGCAGCACTAACAACAAGATTATGACCTTGTCTGGGAATAAAGATGATGGCTACCCTCCACTGTATTGACATACTCAATTGTATTGGAAGTGAAGATAGAATTATTTCCTTAGATCTGGTCACAGCATTATCAGATAGACACCGACAGTGATGGAATAAAGTGTTGTTCTTTTTGCGTGATTTCAGTGTGATTAAAAACGGTCTGACAGAAGAGGGCTGAGGGGAAATATGATTAGATTTTCATTTTCTTAGCCATATGTCAGAAAGAGCTGGAGGGTGTCATTAAAGCATGTTCATTTTTTATTTAGTCAAGGAAATGTCAAAAATCATTTAGAAATATGCTAATCATAGCTTTGCAGAGCCAAAGATGACATTCAGAAACATCTTATCATTTTTTTCTTTTAACCATTGGTTGACACAATAAATCAGTTTTCTTGAGTGTCATTGTTTTCAAAATCCATTGATTTTAGATTTTAAGGTCACACTAAGGCAGTCCCATTTAAAACAATAACTTGGTTCCCAGTCCCCTGGGCGTGTAAACACAGATACACAAACAAGTTACAGAGGGCACCTTCTTAACATCTAATGAGTTTTCTTTTAACTGCAGTGTGCACTTCCCATCAGACAGCAACATTGTCATTTAATTTGTTGATGTCATTGACACAACTCACAGAGAATGGAAAATATGTCCACACCAGTGACGTATATTTGACAGTTGATTAAGAAATCATTTCATTTCCAGCATGAATATCCTCTTAACATTCTCCTAACATTCCCTTAAACATGAAAACACTTCTGTCATTGTTATTTACCTGAGAAGGAGAAAACATTTGTTAGGGCAGTGTTGCATAACAAATATTTAGACAGTTTGATGGTGTGGTTGGGACCTTGTAGTTTCTAAATATGAATTCTGCATATAATGGCATAAATCCTGAAAAATCGAATTAATCAGACTGATAAAATCATATCTTTCTTGTTTTGTGATCACTGTTACTTGTCATGTGTTGCTTGATTGTTATGGTTTGCATTAACTTGTTAGGCTTTTCTGCTTTGTTACAAAAGACTTAACACAAAAGTCACGGTGGTTTAATGTGTCAAGCAGTGGCCTGATTCCTGCTTGAGGAAATGTTTGCAGTTACTGCCTAAAGAACAAAGACAGCACATGGTGTTTGAAATTCTTTTTTTGGATATGACAATTACTCTTTTTCCTTTCCAGGAGTTGAAGGGGAGTAAGGGCCCTTTGTTTTAGCGCAGCATGGACAGCTTCTTCAAGGCAGCCGTATGCGATCTAGACAAGCTGCTCGATGACTTTGAGCTCAATACTGGTAAGCTATAGGCCTGCTGTGAATGATTTGATTTATTAATAACTTATCTGAATATTGTTTTGTCAATGTAACAGTTAGTTTGGTTGATTTAATATCAAAGACACAATGTCATCACAATTTACTAGAACACAAGTAGATTTTTCGAAATCTTTGTTTTTTCCTTATCAGTCCAGAGACCAGTGTTAATCCTCTTAAGGAGGTTAACAGGGTAATAGGCTGTTTACTGATAGTCATCAAAATAGTCTGTGCCTAATTTCCTGTTAGATGACTGAATAATAAACTTGTTTCTACACAATTTTTAAGCTTAAAAGAGTCTTGCTAAGCCAGTTAAAACATTGTGCAACTTTTGAATGACTTCTTCTTCTTTTTAAGTGTGAGTCTGACCTTTTTTTGTTCTTTTTTTTTTTAAACAGAGGAACTTGATTGCAAATCCGTTTTCCTGAAGCCTTCTGCATACCCCTTCTCCTCATTGGGCTCTCAGTGTTTATCCTTAGAGGCATCCACTGTGTCACCAAGCCTCCCTGACCTTAATTCTCTTCATTATGGTTCTGCCACCAGCTGTCCTGACCGCCCCAGCAGTCACAACTGCAGCACAGATGACAGAGAGGTCAAAGGTCAGCCGCCCACTGGAGTGGACCTTCTCTCCTCTGTGGATCGTAGGCCAGCTATAAGCTCTGCCCCTCCCTGCCCTGATCGAGCTCTGAAGCCAGTGTGTGACCTTGTGAATGACACAAGCTCGGCCATCCTGGTCAGGGCGAGCAGTCATGATGCTTTCAGTGAGCTGGACTTGGTGGAGAAGCAAATGGAAGAGGAGGAAACCCTGCTTGTTGACTTTGACAGTCCAGTGGTCCTGGAGCAGCAGGGGGGGCTATGCCAAAGTGTTGGCTGTGGAGTAACCATGGAAGAGCGAGCCTCTGCAGGGAAAGATGAAGTGCTCAGTCTTGATTTCCATGAGCAGAGTGGTGCATGCTCTGCCTCACTCAGTCTGCTGGACGTCATTCTTCCTGCAGCAGTGGAGAGGTGCTCTGAGTCTACAGATGATTCACCATCATCAAGGACCTCAGCTGACAGAGAGGGTAGAGACTGTGAGGAGGTGGCTTCTATAAACCAAGTGGTGGATAACTCTTCCGAACACTGTGAACCAGAGGACTCCCTGCCTGCTGTGAGCATGAAAGAAACATCAGCAGCAACCTTGGTGACTAAAGAGGATGATTCACAAGAAGCCTCAGATAGAGGTGAGGCAGAGTCTCCTGCAAGTCTAAAGTCTGGGTCATCAGACAGTGAACAGGTGGGCTTATCGTGCCTGCCTTTAGCTGTGTCCATATGTGGAGCTCTGGTGCGACCGAAGACCACAGAAGAGTCAGGACAAGCGACAGAGCAGTGTGACAAGGCAGATGTGTGTGAAAGCCCAGAGACAGACTCCCTGTCAGCACTGGAGACCAAGGAAGATAGGTCCTTTTCAAACAAATCTGTTTATGGGTCCCAGCAGATCACAGAGGGCAGGCTGTCACCAGAGGGGCACCATGTCTCCCTTGAACCTGTTGTTGTTCCCCTTCCTGCAGACCATACTTGCTCTGATCGTTCAGAACCCAGTCCAGTGGATCCTGCTGAGTTTGGCTTCGAGTATTTGCCTGAGAGTGACCAGGCTGAGATGTTGGTTACTGACGAAGAGTTGGATGCATTCCTTCAGGCACACACGGAAGCAGAGCAGGCCAGAAGTGTCTCTTGTTGCAGCAGCTCTGGAGATTGTCCGCAACCTGAAAGTCTGTCGGAACCAAATGGGGATCTAGAGGGCAGGCTTCTGGAAGAGGAACTGAGAAGCTGTGGTCGAGCTCGACAGGAGGAGCTAGAGGTTCTGGCTTCCCCAGAAAGTGACAGAATAATGTGTGTGTCTGTGGAGGGAAGTTTTAACCCTGGTGCTCCATCACAATCACTGGACTCTTGCAGACCTTGTCAAGAAGAGCCAGAACTTTCCTCTGGTACAAGAAATTCTTTGACCAGCAACACTTTCCAGTCACAGCACAGTAGTAGCCCTGATCAGCATCCCTCCTATGGAGGTGCAAGACCTAAACAGCTACACTGCCAAACTGTTAGACCTCCACCAGCAGGGGAAGAAGAAGAAGATGAAGAAGGGAAGCAACCTTTGACTTTTTCAAAATGGACAAATGCAGTTGAGGATGAAGAGAGTTCACCCATAAACCCTAGTCTTACAGAAGAGCATTCCAACATAAGTGCTACGAGTCCTATATATGCCACCCAGCAGCATCAGGATTACAGTGTGGGGTATGATGAACTGTCAGAGCCTCCACCTTACCCAGGGGAGCCACCCACAGATGGTGCCAGGGCAGTGAATTGGAAGAGAGAGGGAGAGGATGAGCTGGGGAGCAGGCAGCCTGCTTGGGTGCCAGACTCCGAAGCCCCAAACTGTATGAACTGCTACCAGAGATTCACGTTTACCAAGAGGAGACATCACTGTCGAGCATGTGGGAAGGTATGTTCATCAGCCTTTACCTTTGAATTGAATCCATTATGTTTTGGAGCCAGTTTCATTGTAGTGTGAAAACAGGTAAACATCTCTACTCCGCTGGGAACAGGGCTGCAAGTTTTTACTCAAAAAGCTGTTGCTTGTTTTCTCTTACCAATAATAACAAAACCTCATAGAAGACAAACTTGACCATCAAGCATTCACATTTGAGAAGTTGCAAGTCATGTGTTTTTTTGCATTTTGACTCGATAATAAGAATTGTTGTAAATTTTATATGGATCACTTAACTGATTAACTTACCAGGGCTCCAGACTAACCTTTTTACATAGGTCTCACTGGTGCGCCTAACTTTTTCATTTAGCTGCACCAGCTTAGATTTAAGTGCACCCAAAATAGTTCACTGGGCCTTTTGGCACCTATTATACATTTTCTTGACAGTTCCCATATACTTCAGTCATTTCGTAAGGGCAGGGTATTGTCTCTGATTTCCCACTTCGATTCTGATTCACAATGATTCAATTTTTGATTCATACATATAATGATAATATTGTAGCACAATCATGCAAGTTCACCCTTTCAAAGAGCAATGAACTTAATTCTAAAGAATATTTGTCAGACATTTGAATTAGAAATATTGAAATATCCTAAATAATTGAAAAATAAACCAAACAAAACCCAAAACAATAAATATCATGGACTCTCTGGCTCTGTTACTAAAAATGAATCTTGAATAAACATTCAACATTTCACACAGGATACACCAGCTCAGTATTCAGGATTGTTATGACTTAGATGAGCTTTTAAGTTTTGATTGTATTAGGTTAGGATTTCAACATCTACTCTAGGATTTCGTGTGTGTCTTGTGAACTTTTGAGCGACTCAAACAAACACAAATTAAACTTGAGTACTGTTCAGGTCTTTGGTGCTTGTGTTTATTTTTAAAGTGTAAAGTGAGCGCAGGTCAGCAGGAGTATGGAGGGAGCACACCCAGACAGGAGACTCTGACATGGTACAATCCAAGTGGTGCTACTGCTCTGATCCTGAAACAGCAGTGCTAATAACTTTACAGCATTGGTCCGTAGTGGATACCCTGTATTCACACTTTTTGTTACCACTGTTTGACATTTACCAGCCTGGGGACTGTTAGTGTGAGTGTAAACTCCACAGAGGAGATGAGGAGGTGACATGACACGCTAAAATACACAGAGACAAACCAGCCAAATGTTTGGCACACTGGCGCTACAAAAGAAAACTGGACTTCACAGATTATTGGACCAAAAATGCACTCTAGAGCCCTGCTTGCTAATCTTTGCTCTGAAATAGTTTAAATAATAATACCTTTATTTTATTTTCTCAACTTGCTATGGACCTTTATTTTTGCTACGTATCTTTGCATCTTAACCTGCTACTGCTTCACTGTATTCTTTCCAGATTATCTGGACTGTATAACCGTAAAACAGCAGAAATGCCCATTATGATGACATCACTTGTCTATGCACCAAGTGTGAGATTGCAAACAATGGAGTCAGAGTGCTCTCTGCTGGACAAACTCAGTGATGACTCCATTTCAAAATGACTCCAAGCATCTTTTTCTGCATTATGTTCAAATCAGCAATAGATCTGTGATGGACCAAGATCGGCGGCTGAAATTATCAAATTATCAGTCAGGCCCTAAATTTCTTGTGTCTTTAATGCATCATTTTATTCTCAATGCATCGCTCAGATGATAAAATAAACAAGGAAACCAGAAGAGAATTGTAAACTTTATATTTCTTTGCAGTCCTGCATGACAGGCCTGCAGACAGGACAATGAAAAAGTATTATCCAGTAACTGACAGCCAGTCATTACACCAAATAGATTTCAAAGTTGTGATCTTCAGTGCACTTGTATTACTGACACATTGTTGTGTTTACAGGGAACACAATGAATGTTTCATATAGGACCACAGCTAATGGATCTTTTCGTTACTGACTACCAGTTATCTTCTTGATAAGATTATGTCATCCATAAAAATCAAAAAATGGCCTTGGTGATGTCTTTTAATCGTGTTACCAACAGATTCATTTACTATCTCAAATGACAAAGGAGCACTAACTTTTATTTCGGCAGCTGTAAATAGAGATTATTTAGTCTTTTTGCTTGAAGAATGATTGATATGAATAAAATCAAAATAGTTGCTGATTAATCTTTATTAAGTATTTGATTAATCTACTATATCTTCAGCTCTAGTTTCAAATGTGTTTGAAATGATCTGGGTTAAGCATCTGCAGTTGTTTTTATGTTGTTCATGTTTTTTGTATTTACAATTTGACTACCTTTACCAAATGTTCATAACAGATAATCCCAACAAATTAATTTGTAATTTTTGTCCTGCCCTTTGTGAAATTGTAGCATCGAATGAGGATTTTCACAGTTTCTTTTCAAGCACTGGTATGTGATGTGAAAAGAAGGTGAAAGTTCTGATGCAGCCTCCGTGTTTCAGAGATGTCTAAATAAAACAGATTAAATCTCCAGGACCAAATATAGCATAGTGAATTCATGGAAACAAAGAGCGTGAGTCAGCACTTCTTTTTCCAGCTCCTCTATAGATCGCCACTGAGCCATGTGTCCTAATGCCTGAGCTAAGTCCTTTAAAGGCCTGCGATTAAAACGGTATTAGACTGTTTCAGGATGCCTTATTGTTCACAGCATGATTACTGCTACTTAAACATCTAGATAGTTAAACATGCTTTGAGCTCCTGTGCATTGCTGTACCTTTTCTTTCTTATTTCTGAGGACTTGCTATCCATGCTTGGTGCGTTTTAGCACGACTCCTTCATTATTCTCTTCCTCTTTCCATTGTGACAGGTTTACTGTGCTGTGTGCTGCAACAGGAAGTGTAAGCTGAAGTACCTGGAGAAAGAGGCTCGTGTGTGCGTCATCTGCTTTGATAACATACACAGAGGTAAGACCCTAGTTTGGTCTGATTGGAAATTGGGTTCAGCCACTGTGGTTTCACAGCATATTGGTTTCAATGTTCTTTTGTATTTGTATCATGACACACAGGTGTGGTCATTCAGGAGTTATTTGAATAATGATAATCGTATGGTGAAGCTTTATTCTTTTTTAGATTGAGTTCTTTTACTGCAGCTTCTTTCAGTTCTTGTTTGTGTCTGTTGGTGAAATGCTGCTCTGTTGGGTTAAAGTGCAGCCTTTGACTGGGCCAGTATAAAACTGACCTCTTTCACCCCCTGATGAAGTCACTTGTTGTGTTAGCGCTGTCCTTGCGGCCAGAGTCTTGACACTTACTGAAGTTAGGTTGCATTGGTGTGTAATCTGGTTCATTTTGCTGCTACCATCATGAGTTACATCATCCATAAAGATAAGTAAGCCTGTTTCAGAGGCAGCCATGACACCACCTCCAACATACATCAGGTTTGGATGGAATTGTTCATCAGTTAAAACAAGCTTTTGTTGCTGCCCGACTGGTTCACCAACATTTTTCCATGAACAGTGGATGAGACGGCACTGTTTGTGACGAGGAAGTTGTCAGTCGAGCTCACCACAGCCGCAAGGTATTTTTGCTTCTTCCAACTCAACTTTCATTTTACATCCAGTAGGTTTTGTGGTTAGTCTCTTGGCTCTCTGTAAAGCTGTTCCAGCAGAAGTTGTTTTCCTGCAGAAGCTGTTTTCCTGCAGAAGCATCTTGGTTAAAACCATTGTACCCTTACTGTCCTGCATCAAACAATAGTTTGCTGAGACAAGAGCAGAAAGGTTGGCATGAAAAGACTTACATTGACTTAAACAAATGCTAATTAATGAATACTGTCACAACTTTAGAAGATGTCAATGTTGTGATGTTAAAGTTCAAATCCAGTGCTACCAAAAATAATTATTGCAGGTTTATTATTTCATATTTTCCCCCAAAAGATCCTTTGATTCATAAGACTGCTGTGCTTTGTGTTTGAATATAACTCAATCTAGTTTACCAATAGTAGTATTAGTTACATCAGTGGTATAAGTTCTGAGCTTTTCATTGCCTCTTAGAAACAGACAAAACCCTAAAATTTGTCTCTCAAAATGACTGAATTCATGAGTTGTCAAAACCTAAATTCTCCACAGTAACATTTACTTTATGCATCTGATGAATATTTAAGGCATGAAACACAAAAATATGTTTTGTAAAAATGGCTGAGGGGCTTTTTTTCTCTTCTCCTGCTGAAGCTCTATTAAAAATTAAAAATACCTTTTCACTATTATAAACAGCATGTTAGTGTCTCCCACTTTAGGCAGTTTAAAAATTCAGTTCTGTAAAATCATGTCTGTTTTTTCCATGTCTGTAGTTTGTGTCTGCCTCGATGATAAAAGACACAAGAGGCACCTTTTCATAGTTAAAGACTGCAGCACAGATATGGTGGGGGAGAGGGAGAGGGGAGGAGAGTTATTGCAGGACGCTGGTATTTGTCCTTGATTGTGTGTATGTGTGTTTGTGTGTGTGAGACTGTGTGTGTGAGATACAGGAACCGCCTAACGCAGTAGACATGTGACGCTCACACTCTGTCTAAATTAAGAAGGAAAGAGGTGATCCACTTTTAGTGCCAGGCGGATGCTCGAGCGTGTGATGCGATCCCTCTCCCCTCCGTCACCTCTTTCTCTCCTCGCCTCCCTCTCTCCTCTTCCCTCTCCATCTCTCATCAGTTTGGCGAGCTGCATGTAAGGCTCTCCACATGCACCCAGCCTAAAGCTAACAGGCTATCACGACTAACAACAGACGTAGACTCATGGAAATAAGCGGGGAGCGGCTTGAGTAGGCGCTGTGAGCGAGTTTAAAGTCAGACAAGGGAATAGACATGTGATGATTTGGTCCGGTTAAGTTTTAGTCGAGTGGACGATGAGGTAAGGGGCCGTTGACTTCTTAATACGTAGACTTTTGTTTTGTCTTGCTACTACGTGGTGCTACTGTGTTTTCCTGGTCTGTTAACGTGTTTGACCATTGCAAAACATGCAAATGGACATTTGGACTTGACTTGACTTTCTATTTGTGCTCCATGTAAAATAACGTCACTAATGTATTTTTACTTGTACTTGAAGCAGTTTGCCTCCAGCTCTTTTTGTGCCTTGTCATCCTTTCCATGTAGGAACAAGGTGAAACAGCTATTCTCAATGATGCTGTGTGACTGAACTGGACTTTTTTTCCCCCATAAACAAGGGAGGAATAGTTGTAATGTCTTGGAGCATGGTTCCTTCTTCTTATGTTCTTCTCATGCTGTACTCACTGTCAGTACACGCCTGATCGGTAAAGATCTATGATGCTTAATCAATATAATGTAGACGAGTGCCACATCAGCATTTTCAGAGAGTGCAACCGGAAGGCATTGAGAAAGCTTTTCAGTCGTAACCAGCTGTCCTGTTTGTGTATGCTCTACCTTTCATTTATCAGCACACTTCATCATATGATGAATGAATCATCCAGTTTTCAACAAGCTTCACAGATTTTGATTCAATTCAAACGTTAAAATGCCTTATTTTGCACAAAACAAGCCTTTTTTAATTCCTTTTATTGAAAACAGCAAAATGCAGCTCTACATATTTACAAATATAATGTACTTTGTCAGACATACGCTGTCTGTGAGACCTGATCACAAAAATCTATTCCCCACCAGCAGTGGGAAAGGAAAAAATAAACAAACTCCTTGTGTTAATTTATGGTATCAGTGCTGTAAAAGGAGGACAAACTGGATTACATACATACTGTGAAAAACACTCATATCTGCTGTTAAAAGAACAATTCAGGTCTTTGTGAAAGCCATTAATAGATCAGATTGTCAATCAGTTTGATACTTTGACACCAGATACCCAGATAATTATGAAAAATAAATACATTTAAGGCACTTTCAGGGTTAGCTGAATAAAATGAAAGAATTTGATAACATAACATAGTGCTGTGTTTCTAAAGAACTAACTTGGTGGGTGAATGCTAAGTCTGTAGCCTAAGTAAAAACATTACAATAATACTACTATGCTGGATTAAGCTTTTTTACCACGAGAGAGAGAGAGAATATATTTTTAAGCAACAAGCCCTGAAATCAGCTGCTATATTTTCATTATACATCCAGCAGAAGCAGCAGTTTCACTTCAATATTAGCAAACAGTTGCTCTCCCCACAGTGTACAACTGGTCTGTTGAGAATGAGAGCAACTTCACGTAAACAGTTTCTTTTATTTTTGAGTTTCCTTTTACCCTTGAGGTAAATTCTACATAAAAGTGAGTCATGCAAGCAGCTCTGTGAAACTGTAATTTTAAGCATTGATGTTTTGAGCAAAATACTTTTATCAGTATTAACATACTGATAATAGTATTTCTTTAGTTGCGTCACAATTCCAGGGGCTGCCTCCTTCAGAGGAAGCACTCTACAGGGCCCACGAAGGAGGCACCCTGAACAGGGTCTTGGTCGGAATTTCAGAGTATGCACAAGATACCGCTAAGGATGACAGATGGACAGACATTATTGACCCTAAGCTGGGAAGTTCCTGTGTAGGGTGATGGGAGATGAACACTTAAGTGATCACTAAAGTGTTTCAGTGAACTAAATGTTGTCACGGTTGATCCCATGGTTCAGAGAAGTCAAAGTCACTGAGGTCAATCTGCTACTTCATCTGAAGATCATGATCGCCTGCACAAGTTATGTCCCGATACATTCAGATATGTTACAAGATGAATGAAAACAATGAGCAGTGAAATGGCAGTGTCGTGCTGAAACTAAAGTAAGTAAGTCAGAGGTTTAGCAAAGACATCAGACTTCATCTGGGGACCTTGAATGTCTTCTAAATGAACAGCTGAGTTCCCCTCCCTGTTTTTGTGTCATTAGCATGGCAACTAAAACTCCAGTGAAGAGGACAAGCTTTGAGACTGGTATCTGAGTGAAGTGTTATCACATCTATCTCTTTGCAGCCCAGGCCCTGGAGCGGATGATGAGTCCTACAGGTCCCAGTCCAAACCCCAATGTCCCATCTGAGTACTGCAGCACCATACCTCCTTTGCAGCAGGCTCGTGCCGCCGGCACTCTAAACTCACCTCCCCCCACCGTCATGGTGCCTGTGTCCGTTCTCAAACACCCTAACAACGACAGTATGTATACTCTTATACACAGTCTGCACTTTGCTGTTGGTTGGATTTCCCTCCTGAACGGTACCCTTGGAAAGACCTCTGTGTTCTGTTATTTTTCAGGTTGTCCTCGTGAGCAGAAACGTGTGTGGTTTGCTGATGGTATCTTACCCAACGGAGAGGTGGCAGACACAACCAAGTTGTCGGTGACGAGCCGCAGGAGCTCCCAGGAGTTTGCTGGTGTCACCCCAGACCAAACAGCAGTAAGTCATGGAGATGTCATCCACGGAGCCAAGCTACAGGGAAACACTAGGTTGTCACTTGTCATGACTTGAACATGAAACGATTACCAGTTTCATGGTGTACTGGGTTAAAATTCCCAACAGTTACTTGTACCGTTTAATCTTTAATTACCATGATTACCGCAGCGTCTTTGCTCCGTTCATTGTGCAGCTGCGGCCCGCTGCTGCTGGATAAGGGCAGACACACATTACACGTGCGGTGTCCTCTTTCGTGCTGTATTACCCTTCCACATGTCCTCACTCCCTTGCTGACCTGCGCTCACTTTACACGTTAACAAGAAACACCAACACTAATCATAAGTAATTAGGACCCGTACAGTACAATTACAATTTGATCGATTTTGTGCACACGCAGTTCACCTGCCACACACAAAACAAGACGTGACGCACACAGCCAGGACATCAGGGTTAAAGTGACTGGAACGATCTGGATTTATGATACGACATCATTGATTAATAACTAAATAAATGCTATCGTCAGTTTGTGTGAAGAGCGACACAGTTGAGCAGACACACACACACAGTGTTCTTCCTGCAGATTGTGACGCAATGAATTTTTGAACTACATTGTTGCAGAAGAAGTGATGCCCTGTTTTTCCATGAAAACAAAATTATGACTTAAGCAGGTTATTACAAAGATCAGTTCTATGTGTGAATGATTAGAAAAGAGATGAACAGAATGTTGACCAGTACGACCAGATGGAGGCTGTAACTTTACTGATACTTTCATTATTGTAAGCAGTAAAAATGACTCAATCCATTAACATTTGATGGGAATGATACCACAGTGACTGACTCTCTCATTTCAGCCTGGGCCAGCCGGCTCAGAGGTTGGAGTCAGTGGCTCCTCCTCCCCGGAAACCTCTGGAGCTGTAGAGGTGGTTAGACCTCCGGTGTCAGGACCCTGGGATTATGCCCTGCTTTCTGCAATCAGTTCTTCAGTTCAGAGAGTCCCCAGTTTGCTGCCAGACAATGAAGACGAGCTCCCTCCTCTGCTCTTCACCACTGGCGAGGATGACGGAGGAGGTGTGTATTTATTTGAGTTGGTATGGTTTCAGTAGTTTTAAAACTCAGCAGTTTCTCGTGTTGTTCCCATGTCTGAATTATCATCCAAGACTATTTTTGGTAAAAGTCAAAAGACTGTAAACTTCTAAGGTCAGACACGTAACAACTACAATGCTGCACATCAAAACTGCGGCTTAGAGCAATGTGAGTAGAAAGAAAACTAGAGCCTCTGATGTTTTTTATTAGAAAAATGATCCACACATTTCTCATGATTATAAATGAACATTTCAGTCTGACTGAGCTCATCTCACATCAATTGTCTCTCTGCTTTGGTTGCAGAAACAGTCCGACAATACTTTATCCGAGATGGCCCAATGATCTGTGAAGTCAGAAAATGAAAAAATAGTCTATGTCAAACTTCCCTCAGAGTACAGGCCTTGTTATTAATATGAGTATCAGGCGATTCAATCACAAGGGGACCGCTCTTAGTATAGGTGTGAAAGACACATTTGAGATGTGATCACTTAGACCATATTCAGAATATGGTCAAACGTAAAATACGTAAATCTGGAGGCACATTTTTATTCTTCTCAGTGTTTCATGTATAATTCCTTATTTTTGGACACTGCCGAGGGAAGTGAGATCTAATCACAAGTGATCACTGAAGACACATGGAGATACATTCTTATACCAGGGTTGAACTCAGAACTGTTCATACACTATTGCTTTTGATCATATATGTATTTAGCTTATTCTGACATATTCCCGGTCTGATTTATTCCTTTTAAGATGTTTTGGTTGAGGAAAGTCCCGCCCCATGCCAGATTCTGCACTTATTGGAGGAAGGAGGACCCAGACCTCTGACATTTGTCCTGAACGCCAACCTGCTTGTCAATGTGAAACTGGTTACATGTGAGTATGGTATATCTCTATCCCTCAAACCTGGGTTTTCTTTGGAGGCGTTGCACATACAGTTGTCAAGAATTACGGATGTCCTCAGAGGCCACAACCTCAAATCCTAGTCACTATTAACTCATCTTTTTGTTTCCCCTTTCAGATTCCAGTCATCAGTGCTGGTGTTTTGGTTCTAATGGTCTGCAGTCTCTGGGACAGAAAGAGTTGGTGTTTTTGCTGGAGTGTTTGCCCGAGGAAAAAACTCTTCCAAAGGACCTCTTCACACTTTATCTCACCATTTACCAAGACGCCCAAAAAGGTAGAGGGTGAGCTCTGTACGGGCCATTTATTTACCTTTTAGTAACAGAAATTTTAGCTCATGAAAATCAAAGACTAGAGTCTACATTTTCTGTTACAGGGAAGTTTGTGGAGGAGCTGGATAATGTGACGTTCACAAGCAGTTTCCTGGGCAGTAAAGATCACGCTGGGATGCTCTTCTTCTCTCCCTCGTGTCAGCCTCTAGATGGCCTCACTCTCCCCTCTCAGCCATTCCTGTTTGGCCTGCTTATCCAGAAATTGGAGGTGCCCTGGGCCAAAGTCTTTCCACTCAGGCTTCTCCTGCGGCTTGGATCTAAATACAGCGGTTTGTTTACTGTTGTTGCTGTCTTTGCCTTAAAACATAAGACTGGTAAAGTTTTATATTGCCTTAAGTTCACACACCAGACAGTTACATAAAAACTCATCTACTTGTCATATTCGACCCAAACTGCCATGTTTCCGCTTTGTAGTTTTTCTGTGTTTTTGATCTTATTTGGACAAAAGATGCAATATGAAGTCTTGTCGGACATATTATTATTGTCTTGGTAATTGGACTTTTAAGTATTTGATGACATTTCATAGAACAAATTATAGTTTGTGCAAGAAAAAATAGTAACAGGCCTAAAACTTGTATTAAGAAAAAAATCACCTCATAGCAATAATTTAATGTTTTTATCATATTTCTGTTTTATGGATTGTGCCTTTGAAGCAGGCTTCGTAAAGGATTATATTTAAATTAGTTAATGAGGATTCATTACAATGCTCCCCACCCTTAATTTTATACTTTTATGTTGTGATAACTAACCAAAGTTTTCTGATTTCAGTGTATCCCACGACATTGACTAGTGTTCGTTTTCGGGACTCTGTGTATCGAGAGACAGGACACACCATTATGAATTTACTGGCTGTAAGTACTGTAACACAACCAGATGTAGTAGATACCCTTTTTGTAACCTCAGAGTCATTTCCTTCCACCTGTTCTATGCACATTTTCAATTTGTAGACTCAAAAATGCTGAGATGGAAGGATTACGTGCAACAGAAACTGTCTCATCTTAGTACCTCAGATTAATACATGAATCAAAGAGAACTGACATTTCCATCATCTCACTGTCCTCTTCTTCTGCAGTGATTGAATGGCACCTGACTGGAGAATCATTTCCAGAACTCTTATATTAACAAATATAAAAAAATGAAATGTGCATCTTCATTTTGAGGTTTTTATTGAAATTCTGGTCAAATTTGCAGTAGATTTGTAAGGACAGCAGAGTGAGAATAATCCCAGTGGCACCACATTCTTTTAGACTGTTTTAATTAAGTTGCTGAGGAGATCCTTGTTGCTGTTAATAATGCCCTGAAGTCTGGTTACTTCCCCAATGACACAAGAGACTGCTGCAGTTAAGTGAAATCAAAATAACCATCACAAAGATATGAAATATTTTAGTTCATGAAAGTTGTATGAGGATTCTCACAATAAACTTAAGTATCAGTTTTGAGTTCCAGTAAATACAACAGCAGATGGAGCTTGGCCTTTTTTGCACCTGTCACAGTCAAACAGGAAAACCGTTTTTACTTGTCGCACATGAATAATTTTCTCTAAACTGTGTTCCCGCAGGACCTGAGAAACTACCAGTACAGTCTATCAGTGGTGGATGGCCTGAGGATCCACATGGAGATGGGCCACAGTTACATCAACATTCCCAAAAGTAGCTTCAATGAGGTATGAGGCCGAAAGGAATAATTCAAATTTCTGCAGAAAAGACTTGCACTTTCTTGCCAAGAGCTAGAAGAGAAGATCAATACGCCTCTCCTGTCTTCATATGTAACAGACCCTTTATCTTTTCTTCTGACATCAGCAAGAAAGCAACAGCAGTAATAAATGAAGTAGAGCATAAGATCTGCAAGAAAATGTGCTCAGTATTCAGGCCTATTCTGATCAGATCATGTGAAGGGTTTTTTTGAAAGTTAAAAAAGGCTAAAAGTTTGTTTTAAGTAACTTAGTATTTGAAAAATCATGTCACACTTCCAGTAGTGAGCATGAGCAACATTGCAGCGAGGCAACACAATCCAACGCTGCAGCTCTATCTTCCCTTATAGAAAATCTGAATCAGAATCGTTATCTGACTTGAAGAATTAAAGCAAGGACACTGGCAAACACAGTGTAGAACAGAGTTTCACTATGAAAACTATGTTTTCTCTGTTTACAGGTGCAGAAGGTGATAAATGCATCTAATGAGCACGTCATCAGCATTGGAGCATGTTTCAGCTCAGAGGCCGACTCTCACCTGGTGTGTATTCAGAACGAGGAGGGGAACTATCAGACCCAGGCTAACAGCATGCCGGGGAAGACCCGCACAGGTCAGTGCTGTTTACTCCAAAGGACGAGTAAGCACATCAATAGTCTCCTAATTCTGTTGATGTAACGTCAATGTTTAACTGTGCAGAGGTCTATGTTGTGTTTCAGTGACTGGCGCCAGCTTTGTGGTTTTCAATGGAGCGCTGAAAGCCTCATCAGGCTTCATCGCAAAGTCCAGCATTGTTGAAGGTAACATTCGTTGAGTCTTACTGTATCACAATCAAAGCATTGAATCAAGCAAGAACATAGTAACTTGACAGTTGCTGGACCAGAATAAGTGGAGTTTCTCTTTGCGTGTCAGATGGGTTGATGGTTCAAATCCCTCCAGAGACAATGGAGTCTCTGCGCTCTGCCCTGAGGGAGCAGACAGACTTTCACATACCCTGTGGCAGGAATGATGGAGGGGAAGTCCGAGAGAACGTCACTGTCCGCTGGGTTGACTGGAGTTCACCTGTCAACACAGGGTAACAGCAGTACACCGTGCACACTCACAACAATCTGTCCAACCACTGCACTACAAGCATACCACACATCTCTATACCTATGTGTGCTGCATACAAGAAAGAAAATTCTGTTATGAAATCATTACTATTATTTAAGTACTGCACATAAGACGCTTTTTGGTGTCAGAATTTTATTTTTGAAACATTTGCAGGAAGCACACTCTTTAATTTATGTAATCTAACATTACTTGTAGAAGAAAGTGAAGATAATGAATGAATGAAAATGGTATTTGAGATGAAAAGAAAAACTGAGTGGTGCGTGTGACATGATCGTGTTGATGATATTAGGACATGATACCGGCTTTACTTTGTGACCTGTCACAGGGCAGGTAATCCCAATCCTGTATTTAGTAGAGCAGACCTGACTTTATTATTATTATTTGATTTTCCAGCTTTTATGTGAATATCTGTAAATGTGATCTTTTGACAATTCTATTCCTCTGCAGTAAAACTAGTGGTGTTGATGAGAGACCTCTGGATGGAGTCCGCAGTGTGAGGATGCAGCAGGACACAGAGTTCGAGTCAGATGGTCGCACCCTCAAATGCACTGAGGTGAACTTGTCTTTTCAATAACACCCCCATCTCACACCCTGTGCACTCTGGCCATTGGTCTCATTTCCAGACTGAGATTGAGGTTTATTGGACAGTCAATGACACCGTTCTTTAAATGGGGCACAACTAATTCAGGCTAACACACAAATGTCAGGTGAAAAAAAATTCTTGTTCATTCCCATTTAGGCTTGACAGCCCTACTTGGTTGAATTAAGTATTTTTTGCTCTCAGTATCTCAAACAACATTTGGTTCGATTTTGGAGAGACTTATATTATAAATGATTTCTCTATAACCTGCATACTATAATCTCAAATCATAATTATTTGAACAGTACATTATAAATCTACTTTTGTATCTGTCAATGACTTCATTTTAGGGGGCCATCTGAAAACACCTTAGTCATGATCCAGCTAATTGAACTTGAACTTTTTGCTCTGACAGCAGTTAAATCAGCTTGGAAGAACCAAAACAAGTCACTGACATAATAATCTGGATGACTCTGTTATCCTTGAGCATGATGAAGAACGAGGCCCAGAGCTGTGAACTTACCTTAATGTGTCCCCCAGGTGTTCTACCAGCTGAAGAGTCCTGACTGCAGCCTTTCGTCAGTGCTGGCGTCCTGCAGCGTGTTTCAGAAGGAGATGGCTTTAGCCGCCTGCAGCGCTCTGACTCCTCACCTTGCTGTTCTCACCTCCAGTGGCATCAACTCCATCTCTCTCCGCATCTCCACGCAGGCTGATATGGTAGGAAACATTGTTTGCATCACAGTACAGCTTTATGAATGTCTTCTGTTCAGATGAATTCAGGCATGGTGAGTAGCTGTGTGTTTGCTCTCAGGTGGAGTACCAGGCTGGCTCTGGAGGCAGGCTCCTCCCTCAGCGCTACATGAACGAGCTGGACAGCGCTCTGATCCCTGTCATCCACGGAGGTAGCGCTAGTGTACCACAGACTGCCATGGACATGGAGTTCATCTTCTTCATCACACACACAATCTAAGGCACACGCAGACAGTGTCCCACACTAAGTATCAAATAAATCCACCGAACAGAAGATGGTTGAGTAAAGAAAGAGAAGCTGTTGACTGCAACACAACGTGCTAATGCAACAGCTAACTGCGACTTGCAGCCAATCACAGAGGACATGAAGCCGCTGGCACAACATTCCCGCTCTGAGGTTGGGAATGTGTTTTGGAGGGATGTAAACTGTATATTTGTGAATTTCGTGCTCACCGAAGCTGCTTTAATTCAAGAAGCCAAACACTAAACAAGAGATGCGACAACACGACCAAATACAACCAAACAATTCCAACTGCTTTCCTCGGATCTGCCTTTCAGGCTCCCCGCTGGCCTCCGTCAGCTCGGAGCACCTCAGTGAATGTTTCCCACAGACACTCTATCGAAATGTCTCATTTATTATTTTTTAATATGGGCATATTGAATGAAATGGTGATATTAAAGTGAGGGATGTTACTGACTGCAGTATTCACTACTCCATGTGATCAGGTGCTACTCTATAGCCACTTCACATTTGTAGCTGTAGCCGTTCTAAAATAAGAAAGTGCTGCACAGGGATGAAAAGAAATGCAACCTCATGTCCTCTGAAACTACTGTCATTTCATATGCTGGTTTATAATGATATTGCACAGAGCTTTTTATGTTCTTTTCCAAACTTCTGACTTTTTACCTTGAGGTGTCTCACGTGCCAGCTCAACATGAAATTCGACCCACAAAGTCCAGATTAAGTAGGAAATCAATCAGTTTGAAGGGTTATTAGATATCAAATCTCCAAATTGAACTTTCTTGTGGAACGACCCTGTTTGTTTGTTTGTTTGTTTGTTTTTGCCGTAGCCTTCCTTTTTGGGTAGTGCTGTGGGCAAGTTTCTTTAACAAACATGTCACCCAAAAATCAAAATAGAAATATTTCATACTTTTAAGTTGTGTTGTCAGAAATGAGCATAACAAACACAGCAGCATCAGCAGCCATATTTACAGGGGAACGAGAACAATAAGAAAATATATCGATACAGGCATGAAGTTTATTTTGGTGGATATCAGTAACTTACTCCAAATTATATATAAAGGCGTCTTAATTCTTAAGACAAACTGTATTTCAATTGTATTTGTATAGCGCCAAATCATAATATACATTATCTCAAGGCACTTTACAAAGTATGGTCGAAGACCTTTGAAAATTACCCAACAGTTCCCTCAATGAGCAAGCACTTTGGAGACTGTGGAGAGAAAAACTCTTCATTAACTGGAAGAAACCTCCAGGCACTATCTGGGCAGCCATCTGCCTCCACCAGAAAGGGTGAGCAGAAATATGGGCAAGAGAGGAGAGGTGGGTGGAAAAAAGGGGAGAGGAGAGATAGACCAGGAACAGTTGTGTAACCATCATGTCATCAGCTCTGACAGACTAGTTGTTATGAAAACAATAAGTGATAGTTATAGATGTAAAGATGTTATTAATGATAGCAGCAATAAAGTTAGTGACGTAGTAAAAACGAATGGTGGGGGTAGCGAGACAGAGAGAGGGAGAGAGAAGTACTCAGTGCATGATGGGAGTTCCCCCAGAAGTCTAGATCTATAGCAGCATAACTAAGGGATGGTTCGGGACTCACCTGATCCAGAACTAACTATAGGCTTTATCAGAAAGGAACGTTTTTAGTTTAACCTTCAATGTAGAGATGGTGTCTGCCTCCTGAAGCCAGAGTGGGAGCTGGTTCCTCAGGAGAGGAGCCTGGTAGCTGAAGGCTCTACCTCCTGTTCTAATCTTGCAGACTCTAGAAGGCACAAGTCAGCCTGTGTTTTGGGAGCAAAGTACATGTAACTAAGATAATTTCACACATTTAATGCCGTTCATTCTGTCAAATCACCAGTTTATGACATGAGGGCCCTGCTGGAGTCTACCACCACCCACTCACCACAAGAGGGTGAATGTGTCCAGGCCACCTGCAGGGGAACTCGGCCGTTAAGAGCTTCCACAGCATCCACAAATGACTTTGCTTAAAACTTGAATGTGACTGGTTTATGCTGGAGTTTCGGCCATTAAGAGAATTGAATGACACAAGTCTCCATCCTGTCCTGGATGAAACCTTTTTAAACTAAAGCCTACATTTTTATCGTTATTTAGGAGGCTGCTGTTTTACTTTGACTGTCTTAACATTTGAACTTAAGCTGATGGTTTATGAGCAGCAGCGTCGCCTTTCATCACTCACCACTATTTAGCAGTTCAAGGTCAAATTCCAATGATTTTCTTTACTTCAGGAGATCTCCTCTTCCTCTGTGATCTTAACTTCACGTTTTATGGCTCTTATTTTGCAAATCATCTCAAACCTTTCTTCAAATCTAGAGTTTAGAAATAGCTTCGGTAAATATTGCTTTATCCCTTTCAGTAGCTAAATGTAAAGACAGAGGCTGCTGCTATGGCCAAGAGGCAGGTTTGGTCAAGCTCAAGACAATGACTGGAATGGCACTGGAGACTGGAAACAAGCCTGGTTCTGTCTAAAGGCAAAACAATCTATCTACGTCAATTTGTTCACATCATCAGATGGTTGTGGTTTTAACATCTTGGTTTTATAGTAACGAAACTAAACCATGTTATTAATTATTGCATTACCTTTGGAGCCAGGCTAGCAGTTTCCCTTATTTTCCAATCTTCCAATCTGCAGAGCTGAGCTAACCATCACAGCTTCATATTTATGTCACAAAAGTAAGAGTGTTGTTGACTCGTCATAGGTGCTCTGAACTCAGCAGTGGTCTTCTCAGGTGCTGATTGGAGCAGGAACTTTCTATTCACAAAGTATTTCACCGAGCAGTGAAAAGCGTTGCATTGGTTTTGTATTTTAGATGAATTCAGTGCATCTCCAGAGCAGCTTCGAGCCACTTTAGATCCATTAGAACAGGAGATGGCGCTGAGGTTTGTCAGTGACTGGGTGTCGCAGTATTGGTTGTGAGCAGGTTTTGAAGCGGGTACTCCTTTCTTCACCAGCTTCTCATCTCTCCCTCATTATGTAAAGCTTGCTCAGAACTGCCAATGTCCTCAAACAAGTGCTGTGGTTACAGGAAGGTAGAGTGGTTAATGAATACCCTTAAAAACGTCAGAAAATAAGAGGGCAGAGAACGTTACATCTCTGTTAAAACAAACACAACCCGATTAGTTTGAAGAAGCTTTGTCCACATTACCCCAAGTGAGGCTCTCCAGTTTCATACGTCGTCTTACTTTTCAGTCAGGAACTTCACAGTCAGCTTTGTCCCAACACATACATATGTATAACATATACTGTATGCATAAAGATTGTATCGTTTTGTTTTGTTTTTTAATATTGAAGAGTTATTTTTGGAATCATTGGTATAAAAGTTTTAAAAAAGACTAGAAGAATATTTTTGATAGGATGTAGGCCAAATTAATTTTGCAGTTTGTGTAGCAATGAGAGAAAAAAAAGACACCCTGGAATATTAAACAAATAAAATATATTGTTTTGGCTTAAGATGGAAAATATAAATTCCCAAAATGCAATGCAGAAAGCTTGAGTTTGAGACGAATGTGGAGGTAAAGATGTCTACCAAACAAAGGTGGCTTTGATCTGTTCTACAAGTCTTTTATTTTTTACATAAGGTAGCCAACACATACATGCTCATTAACGCATTATTCAGTATGTTCCTTACGTGACACAGGTGAATGTGACATGTATCCCAGGAGGAGTCGTCTTTCTGATTCGTAAACTTCCACGTTAACTTGTTAATAGGCTTATTTAATTACTTGAGTTGACAGGCAGTTGAGTCCCTCTGGTCAGCAGGGACGTCTGTCGTTATCAGTATGTTTGGACAGAGCAGGTAAAAGTTCAACGCAGATATTCTTTTAATCCTCACATGAAGACTCTTGTTTGATTTTGCCCGGTTTGTGACTGACTTTTAATTGAATCTGGGTAAACATGTTGAGCTGAATGAGTTAAATGCCAACTCAATCACCCGCAACCACACAAGATATCAACATACTAAAAGGCCAAAACGTCATCACCATTATTGTTGGTTGAAGTTTGTTGGTTGTTTTACCTCTTTTGTCCAGACGGAAACATCTGACTGAGTATTGGATAGACTGAAAGTGGATCACATCACAGTTTTAACTAATATTTGAACACGTTAGAATTTCTCCATGTGGCAAGGGTGGGTTAATGCTTAATAAAAAGTTTAATTTGGGGGAAACTTAACATGTTTCACTTTCTGTGCAAATGAGCTGAAGACTGAGAGGACAGTTTGTGGACAGCTGATTTATCTCGACAAACCACTTTGTATTCATCAGTTGAACTTTGGAGCATTGGAAACAGGATGATTCATTTTAGAAAATCCTTCTCGAGGTTTGATTATTTTTTTTTTCTCCTTTATTATTCTAAGGTTTGATTTTCTTTTTTTCTCTCCTTTAATAGTCTAAGGTTTGATTTTCTTTTTTCTCTCCTTTCATATTCACGATCAGGTCACTTATATTCTGGAAGGTAAATTATTATTATTTCTTACTCTGAAAATTAAACAATTCTCCACTTTGTCAAAATAAGAAGTACTTTTATGCTTTATGATTGTTTCTAAAGTGTTGTAATGTGTAAATCATCTATTTATTCATAAGCACCAGCTTTATTTTTGGTGAACCTGGTATCTGGGTCCTAATCAGTTTCTGAAGAGCTTGTGTAT